ATATATATATATGTGTGTGTATGTGCCCCATACCTTTACGGTCTATTAACAGGTATTTTGATTAGCAATATTCATATCCTAGTTCAACAGCATATCCAGATCGATACATATACAATATAACCATCCTGCCCAGTTTACGAAGTGGCTGTGCGTCATTGCTATCTAGAACCTAGAAATAAAAGAAACGTACATTATCAGTTATTGTACAATAACGATTTGCTTCGGTGTGCATATGATGCTTATTGCGTGCTGTCTAGCGTCGCGCGCTGTATGTGTTGTTTGCAAGACTTGTAGCTGAAGCCGTATGTATTCCATGTTTCTGTGTCTTTTGGTCCTTGTTGTTCGGTTGGTGTGAGTACACGTACAATCTTCCAGCTGCAACATTAATTCCAAACCCCCAGCCCGTTTACAAGCACTGTGACCAACAAAAGCAGCAAGCGACAACAGTAGCATCAAGATCAACAATAGCAGGACAAATAACAAAACCCGCAATCAGTACAATTAGCCGTATTCATCCTCACAGAGTTCGTGATCATACTGATTAAAACCATACGGGTAATACGTCGAAATTTAAGTCATACACAGATGAGAACATTAGCAAAAAAATATGAACAACCGTGGACATGAACAAGCAGTGACCGTCAAGATCACCACCAATAGTATATTGGCATGAATGTCCAGTTATTTTCCTTGGCACGTGTACGTTTCCAGCCTTTTCAGCCCGACATGCAACTCGAAATCTCAGGTCCCTTTGTAAGCCCGGGGTTCACCAACACCAACACCAACACCAAGAATAGCAACAACAACAACAACAACAACAAGGTTGAACCGTACACTGGGTCCCCGTTCAACCAACAACAATATCAACAACCGCAGAAACAAATGAATATGGCAAAGACGAGTACGAGACGAGAAGGTTCGAAGATTGACCGGTTAATTTTGTTTGGAGGAAGATGGGGAAGTAGGTCATAGAGATCAAAGGAAGGGGATGGGGTGCAATCTATCGCGGGCTTATCTGTTCTTGTATTCTACGTTGTCGTGTCAGTCGGATTTTGCCTTCTTCGGCAACAGCAACAACACAACAACAGCGACGACGACGACAATAACAACAACAGCCCGACAAGAACAGGAACAACAAGAACCTATCACCCACACCTTATCATATGATGGAGGTAATGAAGATGTTGATGATGACAATGAAACGAAACAAATTGAATGTTGGAGTGTCTGGCGATGGTCCCTTTCCTTCCAATCCTCGGTCGCAAGCAGTGTCCCCCTCCTCTCTCTTGGCGTTCATGCTTTGGAAACCCCCAATCACAAGCAGTACCCCGTTATCTGTGCATCTAGTCTATCTGTCAGTGTCAGTCGGACTGTGCCTTTCATCAGCA